GAGTGTATTACTTTAGGTTCTTGTGTATGTCTGTTTGTGCTTTCCTGGTGGCAGAGAGCTAGAAAAGTGTAGAGCTCAGATTTTAGCATATTTAATTTTTTGGTAATGTGTCTATAGCCTGTTAATAAAAGCTTACCTAATGAAAGCCAGCATCACCATCACTTGAATCATTTTTGCAGCCAGAAGAGTGTTCTTAAATAATTGTGTATTCAGACTTCACTTTAGTAAATTTCAATAAATAGCTTCCCATAGGAGAGGTTTCTTCTGTTGAATCTGTAGAAGTTGATGATACTACAAGCATCAGCTTTCGCAGGCAGCTTCTCTAAACACCTGCAGGGTGGAAAAGAGACCCTTCTCTCAAAATACTGAATATTGCTGGCACACTCTGTCGCCGGTGCCTGCTGTTTTCCATCTTACCTGGGTTGCAGATTTCTTCGCAGTAATGATGGGACACTGAAGTGCGACGGGATGAAAGCTCGCCTGTGGCATTTTTACCCTGGCTGCGGGGAAATGGCCACCATCCTGTGTCCATGACACTTGTCCTCCTCAGGACTTTCAACGTAGGCTTCAGAAGCCATCACTGGGGGCAGTCCTGGCATTTATAATGGGGATAGGGACCATTATCAGGAAAAGTTTCTATATCAAGGACATCTCAGTTCTGCAGCAGAGGAATCTTGGAAATTACCTGCAAACCATCTTCTTGTAAGCACAAGCAACTTTATTTCTGTTATTCTTAATTCCAAAAATGCTTTATTTCCAGACTGTTAACATTTAGTTAGCAGTAGGCTCTAAGTTTCCCAATCCCTCAGCCTTTTCAGAGGGTAAAGTAACAAATGTGTAAATGTGCTAGGGGATTCCTGTGATTTATGGAAGCTTTCTAGTGAATAATTTTGAAGAGAGAGACCTTTTGGTAATAATACTCACTTTTTGACTCTTCTGTTATGATATGCAACCTGAGGGTAGGGGCAGGTGGACATGGAGAAATAACATTCTCCTACTAAGCACAAAATGTATATGCCTGTTTCATAGGGAAGTCACGGGCTCCTAGGCATTCGGTTTAAAAATGAACAAAATTAGATGGGTACCCTTCACTGGCCCTTCATGGTTAGGGGAGGAATGGAAAAGGGAACGTAACTCATTTCGGCTTCGGTCCTTGCGCTTTCCAGAGACCACCCTACTCCATACTCCATTTTTTCTTTTGAGCTTCCTATAATGGTTAGTGAAATTTACATTTCAGCCTGGCCTGCAAGTTTTCAGCCTATTTTCTCTTCCCAGTGCTTTATGCTGCCTCCTTGACACCCTGCTCGTAGGTATTAGAGTTGGCCTCAGAAATTGCAGTGCTTTCCTTTCGTTCCGCTGGTTGGTTTGATAGGTTGTATCTGCACATTTCAGAGCGGCTGGTTTTCTTTTTTACAGCATCTAAACAATAATGGAACCACATCTTAGTCACACTGACCTCCACCAGCAGTTCATCCCCTGCAACACTTGAATACATTAATATCACTGTCCGTAGCATTTTAATTTAATTAGAGCAGTGGTTATAATCCTCTTGGGAAAATCTTTATCCCCCCTCCCCCCCACATGCACCCATTCTCCGTGATGTTAAAAGAAAGCACCTCTGTTTTTCATCTGCTTTAGAGGTGAGTGAGCTGTAAGCTGGGACTCTCACCACCACCCCCTCCTTTGTTGGTGGAGTAAAGAGGATCCCTTTATGTGGGAAATTGGATGTTAGGGTTCTTAAGCTTCTATGTTTCCACATCTCCATCTGAGACGGTGGTATTTGCTTAATTTTTCCAATTGCTGATAGTCTGCTGATGTGCCAGGGTAGATAGATGTTAAGTGTGTGGTTACTGCAGTAGAATTAAAAAAAAATGAGGACTGTGAAAGTCACTCTAGAGATTCACAAAAAGAGAGACAAAGGAGTATCTGTAGTGTGGAATTCCCGAGACTGTGTTTTGTTCTCCTTGGAACAAAGCCCACACACGGTATAGCGTCTTTTTGGGGTCCCCAAGTGCTCTGCAGCCACTGAGCCCAGAGTTACCTTAGCGTGCCATGGTTGCCAGAAGAGTACTCTCAGGCCCTAGAAGCACATTTTGCATTTGTCCGTCTTGGTCAAGGTAACCTCTCTTTTGTTGCTGACATGTCTCTTCATTGAACCTTTGAAAAAGAGCTTATGGTGTGGAAATCTGTCCTCCAGCTGAGTAGAAACCATCAGGAATGTGGGGAGATCGGTGGGCCACAGTTTCTTCATCTCTGGCCTTCCTTTTACAAGTTTTCATCATGAAATAGCACAGTTGTCTCCATCTAAAATTGTTTGGACTGGGTTTGGGGGGGATGGCAGAAGTGTGGTGTTTCAGCGTAAGGTCAGGGAGCCATGTCGAAGTGAAAGCACACCCAAGTGTGTGCTTTTAAAGTGAAAGCTTTTAAAGAGAGCACAGTGAAATGAAGGTCTGATGCAAATGATAATTTAGTAAATCACAGGATATACACTTTCAGGGTAATAGCTAACCAGACTCTCCTCAGTAGGCTGGAGATGGCGTTCCCAAGACCTAAGTGCGGTCAGCCTGGAGGGCTGGGTTTCTTCCAGCTTGCCTTGGTGGAGCTGGGGGAGGCGGGGATAAGGCTGCCGCACTCTGGTCAACCAGCCAGTGGGTCTTACCAGTTTTTCTTTGCTTCAAGGGAAAGAAGAGTCACTGAATTTCAAAGTGATACCTTGTTTCTTTCTTGCACTAGTGCAGGCCTTTTGAAGACCCTTTGCCTGCTGATGTTTTCTTCACCAAGTTTCACTTCTGCAAAATCCGGAACAAAACAGAAAGCTATTTCCTAGAATAAAGTGAATGGTAGATATCTAGGTATATAAAGGGATTGGGGGGTGTCAGACAAGAGTTGCAGAGTATGGAGAATTTGTTAAATTAGAAAAGCAGAATTTTCAAAGGCTCAAAAGTCCACCTCACCTTTAAAACCTCTGAATAGATTTTCTGTTGTGTATGTGCGTGTGTGTGCGTGTGCGTGTATGTGTCTGCATGTGTGTGTGCATGTGCGTGTGTGTGTGCGTGCGTGTGTGTGTGTTTTCTTTGTTCATCCCAAAGTGTCCCAAACCACCAAAAAGTATAACGTGTCCTTAAAGTTTCTCAAAATATGTGTGATGCTTGGTAAAGTTCAAGAAAAGTGCAATTGAAGGTTTTGTCTGTGGGTGACTTCACAGGACATTTTAATTGACACAGACATGAAACCTGGGATATACATGCCTGCCCTTCATTAAGAAATTCACCAGGAAACCTCAGGATGTATGTTTAAACAGAAATATTCCAACTGCCCTAGTTGCTTCTGGTGGGTGCCTTGGGGAAGGTATAACAATTCCATTTGGAAATTGTAACAATGTGTATACATTCATTTAAAATCAAAACTTCCTACCACAACTGCCAAACTTTCCAGGCTGTGAGCAGAGGAGAAACTTTAATTTGGTTATAGGGGCGGGGACTTCCCTTCTACCCTTTGCACATTTGATGAGATGTAAAATGTTAAAAGAATTATCTTTCCGGCCAGGCACGGTGACTCACGCCTGTAATCCCAGCACTTTGGGAGGCCGAGGCGGGCGGATCACGAGGTCAAGAGATCGAGACCATCCTGGTCAACAAGGTGGAAACACCGTCTCTACTAAAAAATACAAAAATTACCTGGGCATGGTGGTGCCCGCCTGTAGTCCCAGTGACTCGGGAGGCTGAAGCAGGAGAATTGCCTGAACCCAGGAGGCGGGGCGGAGGTTGTGGTGAGCCGAGATTGTGCCATTGCACTCCAGCCTGGGTAACAAGAGCAAAACTCCGTCTCAAAAAAAAAAAAAGAGTTATCTTTCCAAAATGTAAACACCGCCTTCCCTTTACTTCAATGTACGATTTTCTTTTGCTCCTGATTTTTATTTTCTTAGTGGCATCTTACTGGTCTTTCCTTTTCACCGTATTTTTGGATATTGTATGTTTCATTTTACATTGCCCTGTTAAACTACAGACACTCCTGAAGTTATGTTTACCTATGGACTGCAAGTCAACCTAGTTGGTGTGTTGATCTAACATGCAAATTGCGCTGCTGTTCTGCTGAAACTAGTAGTTGGTTTCTTGCCATTATTTGCTTATTTTAACTTAAAACTCACAGTAATCCTTCCCACCTCATCTAGTTTGTTTTAATTGATCTAGCAAATGCTGCTTGTTTGAATTTAAATGGAGGATCCACTGAAGCTCTCCCCACCCTTTGACAGTCAATAAGGTGTCCAACAGTACTTCTTTTAAATTCAAATAATTCTTTGAATGAACTATGAAATACTTCAGAGGGAAAGGAAATATTGATTCTGAGATGGGGAATGAAGGAACAAGGAGATATTCATTACTATTGCCGATAATTCCTTGCAATGAAGGAAGAAATCAGATGTTGGATATTTTTGGTTGCGGTTGCTGTATGGTGAGATGTGGACAATAGAAACATCTTCCTTGTGGATTTAAGTTCTAAATCTACTACATCTCTGAAGCTGTCACTTTACTTGTTCGGCTGACTCTCTGTGGAAGTGAATCTAGAATCATACTTTGATTAGAAGCTGGGAATGTTGCTACCGAAGAGGAAATGTGGCATTAGTATATCAATGGCATGAATTATGCCACTTGGGCAAGTCATTTATAGAAAGTTGCCGTTCTCTTGAACATACATTTTTGTTCCCTTTTGTCCCTCTTTACTTGCACAAACCACAGGTGTACAACCTGTTGACCTGAGTCCAACGTAATGGCCATTTTCAATGATTGCAGGGTTTTGTTGTATAGCCCCAGTACTAGGCATCTGAAACGCAACTGTATACAGCATCTCTACAGAGAGAACCAGCCGGATGGCTTGGGAAGCTGGTAGTGCAAGTGCCCCACCTCCCTTTTGCTCCCCACCCCCCAGATGATCTGGCATCTCCATTCCAAGCTTTCATTGTCTCTCTCCCCCTCCCCTCTTCCTGCCCTTATTTTTAACAGCAGGAACGAATTTCATATACACCTCCAGAGAGTCCAGTGCCGAGTTACGCTTCCTCAACGCCACTTCATGTTCCAGTGCCTCGAGCGCTCAGGATGGAGGAAGACTCGATCCGCCTGCCTGCGCACCTGCGTGAGTGTCCGTGACCTGAGAGGGGCAGATGATTGATGGCATGGGGCAGCGGCAGGGGGTGTGGGGGGCAGGCACTGGGCTCCAGGACAGAGAGGGGCAAGCTCTGAGGTCGTTTTCACAGGACTTCGCCATGCTGCTTTGGAATCTTTCACACCCCCCACCCGCAGTTGTCTTTGAAAAGTTTTAGGTTCCTGTTCCTTATTCTCAGTGTGTTAATTTCTTCCCCATGACATGTTAAAAAACAAAAACAAAAACACCTGGAAACATGCAGTATACAGCAGAGCCAACTAAATCTCCTAGTAGACAAGATGTTTTTGTGTGTGTGCAGAGTTTATCTCTATTCCCAAATTCACGCTTACTCAACTTTAATATTTTCTTTGGTCTTAAATTTTGCTCAGTTTGTGAGTCAGACTCACTGCTGCTTTGTTTTTAAACTGTGTGCTCTTCCTTTCTTTCCAGGGCCCTCCTTCCCCTCCCTGTCTGTGCTGGCTACTTTTTCCCTTCTTTTTCTAGGCCTGCCTAGGTCCTCTCTCTTACCCTCTCTCGACGTCTCCTCCAGTCTCTCTTGCTTCTCTTGTGTTTGCTTTGCCTCAGCAGCTGCAGTCCATGGTGCTTCCACCTTTCTTTCCCAGATCATCTCTACCCCTTGGCCCACCATGGCCCCATCTCATTCCTCAGCTGCACTTGGCAGAGAGGTTGGGGACGTACACACCTGTGCTGCTGATACTGGTCTCCAAGGCCGTTGACATCTGCTGGGTCCTTTTTGTCTGCCTTTCTCTTACTGCCACCCAGCTCAGGTGATAAAATGGGACTGGAGCAGCTGGAGAGTCTGAATCACCTGATTCCCACCCTCTTCACAGTGTCCAAGAAAATCCCAGCTTCTCTGCCTTGAATGTTACCTTGAGGGCACAAGACTAGGCTATAGAGGACTCTTGGGATCACCTTGGCCCTTTCAATGACTTAAATGGTGGCCCAGTCTTGCTCACCATCTCTCTCTGGCATGGTGATGCTCCCAGGTTCCTTTCCTCCCGTTCCACCCTCCCCAGAAGGTTGCTTTCTGAATGCAGAGGGCAATAGGAGACAGAGGATACAAGTTCTTCCTTTCTCTCGCTGGTAATTCAGGGAATGAGATGACTGTGATTCTGAGGTTCCTGGGGGAACGCTGCTTGCTTATGCCTTCTGCCTCCCCAGTGTAGATGGTTGCTGGGATGTTTGCAAGGAGTTGGGGGCATGGGAATCCTTTCCCTCCAGCTTGCTGCTTCAATCAGTTTTTACAAAGTTGCTGCCTACTGTGGTCAAGACATTTCCGCTTCACTTGGGCAGGGAGGTAAAGGACACAGCGCTATTCTGCTATCTTTTCCTCCACTTTTAAGGAGGTTGGAACTGTAAAGGTGCCGGGGTCATGGCTGGGAACATCAGTGTCCTTCGGAAACTGGAATGTTATGGCACCATGGGAGCAGACACAACTGGAAAAGAAACAGCAGCCAGGTGATAGCGAATTTTCCTTCGGAAGTCATCTTGTGACCCATAGATTCACTTCAGAAGTACTTGCCTTGGGGTGGAACATGCTCATGCCACCCACGCAGAACGCTTCTGCTGCTAGTTCATTCATTTATTCATCCCACAAAGAGTTATTGATTGCCTCTGCTGTGCCCAGCATTCTTCTGTGTCCTGGGGGTGCAGAAATGAACAAAGCAGAAAAAACTCCCCTGCTCTGTGGAACTGCAATTCTAGCACAGAGGAGCAGGCTGAGATTTCTTTTGTAACTTTTTATTCCTATATTTTGCAACATCCCCCGAGGAGGCCCTGCTCCTGGTTTACTTCTGGATGCCTTGACTTATGGAAGCTCCTTAACTATCTTCCACCAGATGTTATCATGAGGAAACAAACAAACAGGCCAAACTGGAGGTCAGGAGAGCTTACCTTTCAGCTAGTTCTGCTGTTCTACCCAGTAGGACATTTGGATATTGCTCAGTTGAAGGCATTTTTAGCTGCTTATTTTAAAGAGATACTCACCACAATGGTATGCCTCGAAGTGGCTTCTTTTCACCATTTTCCATTGATTACCAGATGAGTAATTTAACGCAGTTCTCCTGGTGTAAAATACTGTGTGTGGACAAGAAAATGTTTAATAGCCTTCCTAACTTTAAAATACTATGATTCTCATCGGAGGCATCTTTCTCCTTACTTTGAATTGCTTCTTCCGTACTAACACTTGAATTTCCCCTTGAGTAGACAGTTCACCTGTTGAGCTGCATCTGTGCTGCTTACCAGCATTTTAGTAGCTCCTTCGGTGTGCCTAGCACACAACCGTAAGAGCTAATATTTATCATGGGATTACCCTGTGCCAGGTACTGGGTGAAGTCCTTTACAGGAATTCTTTTAATTCATTCTCACAATACCTATAAGGCAGGTCTTCATTTATCTTCATGTCACACATAAGGGCTTAGACAATTTAAGTAATTTTTCAAGGTCAGTCACAGAACCAGGAAGAGAGAGAGAGTCAAGACTCAAACTCAGTTCTGGCTGACTCCAGAGCCTAGGATCTCATGTCCACTATACCACCATAAAGTATGTGTTGAGTGAATATTTTTTGGATGGATGGATGAATTCAGCATTGACACTTAGCCAGCGTTCACTGATACGGTCGTAGTGCTGGTTTATGGCTGGAATCTGTTCTAATTGCGGTTCTGTCTGCTCTCTCTGCTGTTGAAAGGCTTTCATGTCACCCTTCGAAGAATGGATAGATTCCCCACGTAGACAACTATCAAATATAGAACTGTAGCATATTCCTGGAAACCTTGCCATTTCATCAGTAGATTATGGATTCGGGTTACGGGAATGATTTTGCCTGAATCCCTACCCTGTGGCAGTCTAACTGACTTGACACACTTCTCCTTAGTAATCTGCATGAGACCCGTTGTGACACCACTGGGTCTGACATCTGTATTGAATCCTCTGGAAGTGGAGGTTCCCAGGCTCCTGCTGTTTGCCCTCAGCTGGGGCTTTCCGAGTGAGGCTGAGCTTCCGTCCTCCTGCTCCTGTTCTAGGATTCTGCTCCTTGTCATCCTGTTTGAGAGGAGCATATAACCCCTATGATGACTGAAGCTGTGCCACACACTTGAAGATGCATCCCAGCCGAGTTTCCAAAGCTAAAAGAAAATAAATATTCTAACCAGGGAATTGGGTTATTAATCTGGGATTCCAGACAATTCCCAGTGGAATGCTCGTGGAAAGTACGGGGAAGAATCTCAAAACCAAGACAGCAGCGGGACATTTATGGTATTGCTAAGTTGAAGGCATTTTTAGCTGCTTATTTTAAAGAGATACTCACCAGACTGGTATGTCTCGAAGTGACTTCTTTTCAGTTTTCCATTGATTACCAGATAAATCCTCTCTCTTAATTCTTTCTTTCTCTTTTTTCATTCTTAATTCAACATATATCATTGTGGGTGGGGGTTGAGGGGAGCAGAGATCTTAATATTTAAGATTCTCATACAGAGAGTTTCTCACCATTTTATTCTGCAAACACAGAGCTAGACCCAAACTGAAGATACAGCATAACAAATTAGCAAGCTACTGAGAAGTAGAGAGCGATGCCTTTTGCTTTTATTTGCCAGTGATAAAAGCAAAGTGATAAATGGAGTAAAGTGTTAAGTGCTGATTAGTGAGGACTTGAAAAAGTACTGGGAAAGCAGCCTGGGCTGAGGGCAGGAGGAGAGCGGGGAAAGAAGGCAGGCCCATGCCATCCTGCTCTGCCTCACTGCCCAGATTAGCAGGACAGTGCCCTTCAACAGCAGAACTCCCCTGCTCATCGGGAGAGCAAACACAAGTATGTTTGTTGAGAGGATAGAAAGGGCATCATTTTCTCTTCTTCCCCTTATTCTGTAAAGGGTGCTGAATGTTTTTTGAAGCTTGAGTGTGGAAGAGCCAAAGTACAACAATTATAGCAGACAGGTGGAACAAAAAGTTTCATTCTTTCAAGGAACATAAGCCTCGCATCGTAGCTTGAAGACACTTGAAAGACTGAGGATCCCCAAGGGTGCCCAGGAAGGATCACTCCTGACTCTAAGCAGAGAAGGGCTGTTGCTGGGAGCAAAGGATACCTTTGCCCAGTTCCCACCAGGAGACTTGTAGTCTCTCGAGGGAGGGACGTTTTCTGATTTGTCTACCCAAAGGCCACCCTTTTTCTAAACTCGTGGGGGAGAGGCTGCTGAAGGGGGCAGTTAAAGCACCTCACGAGGTGCTGCCAGCCTGCTGATTGGCAGAGACTCTTACAAAACACTGGGCCTCAGACAGTGATGAGCAGGCCCATCCTTACGATAACAGTGTTAGTATCGTTCAGATTGATGCGGCAGAATTTAAATAATGAAATGTCTTTGTTTTAAATTTCTTTTAAACATGCTCATCTCACATTTCGTTGACATCGTGTCATTTGCCCGCAGACCTTGCATTTTGCAGTGTCCATTTGGCCTTCTGCAATCCCTGTGAATGATATTTAAAAATCGGAACCCAGGACTCATTCGTCATATTTAATAGGGTTAGGGTTTATGATGTTGCGGGTTAATAAATAGCCATAATAGCCGCTCGGCGTTTTCTGGAGTCAGAACACCAGAAATAGTCCCTTGGCTCTCTTTCCTTTCCTTGTGAATCTTTCAGAATTCTTACATTACTACTCCGGCTTGTGTGTGTTTAATAATTTAATTTAATGCCTTCCTTTAGAAACGGTACCTCGCTGCTCAACCCACTCGGCTGTTGTGCCTTTCAGCAGAGTAACTGAGTTTAAGACAGCCACGTGACAGGCACAGCTATATTAGAACCAGCATAGTGAGAAGGGCTGCGCTGCCTCTCTTGTCTAATTGGGTAGGAGCAACAATTTTATATACTTTCACATTATGTTTGTTCCCAAAAAAAAGAGGCAAAACTGGGAGCTGAACACGATCATCGTTATTATTTTATATTTTTATACATAACAAGATGCGCTCAGACTTCTTGTCTCA